AGCTTCCAATGTAGATCTTCTTAAACAATTGCGGAGATGATTAAATTTATCTATATTCGAGATATGCTTACGGTTCACCAGTTGCAGAAATGACGAGATAAAGTTATTAAAGTCCGTATGCTTTCCATCGAAGCTAGGCACTGCCAACCTTGGCAGTTGAGACGGCGCGCAGTAGCTTGGTGCAGAGATATGGTCGATCACTGTGCTGTACAGTTCTTCTCTAAAAAGTTAATGCCAACTTTATGGTTATGTAACTGTCCTCCAGGTTTGCACGTCGATTATCTGCGGACTTCACGGTTTCAATTTCTGAGAGGGCTTGCTTAAAATATGATTCTAAGATCCCAAATGGCACTAAATTTCAGTTGACGAGAAGAGGCTCTTCTTCTTTCTTAGTGTCGCCCATTACCGTTATGCGACTGTGTCGTTGGCATAAGAACTTTTTTCTATAAGTTAACTTTATTTGTTTATTTATTATCAACTTGCGAGGGGGGGGGGGGGGAATATTTAATGAACAAAGCGTTCTTTGTGTGCATGAGATATGAGGTTGGTAAGTGCATAAACTAATTTAAAATTTAATAAATAACAACCGTTTCTAAAGATCTATCAACAGTCACTGCTGGAGGTTAGTAAATGCATATTAATAACTTTTTGTTTACATCGTGCAGTCAAAGAAAACAGTTCGGGAGATGCGAATTTAAAAGAATTCGACCGAGCACCGTATTTCTCTAATTGGCCTTTTTCTTCTTTTTCAGCGAATCGGGAAAAAATTACTCAACATGATCATTTTGCATCATGCAATACGATGTTATTTTCCTCGGAATCTTTTTTCATTATGGACTGCATTCTGGCATTTTTATGGTTTTACTCACTTATTTTGTAAAATAAAAAATTTCAATGTAGTTCACACATTCTTGCATTATGGTTAGTTAGTTAGTTGTTCGAGTGAGTGTAATAGGAGCTAAGACAACCTCACTCTTAAATCATTTTAAAGTAAATCGCCCACGAGAGATAATAAAGTTCATTCTACTTAACTTAATTAGATTCGCAATTTTATTGTCTAGTTTCATGATGTTATCTGCCGTAACTGTATGCACCATCGGTAGTGTGACTATACTATCCTAGTTAGGGCGGCTGGAAGCAGATCTACGATGAAGCTTTGACTGGGGATGCTGACGAATCGTAGAAGCGCAAACACAGCCTGGAATCTTATCAGAGAAGTCCGGCCAGACATCCCCCACGTCAAGGGAGAGGCCCGCGAACCGACCTACGCAACGGTGATCGGACCCAGCGGCCTAAATAAATGCCCAAAAAATTGGATACAGCGGTCTAAGCGAAGGACCACTCCCAGTGGTGGCAATCTCCAGCAAAGCAGACCTGCTTACCAAGTTGGGCAAAGTGAATAACGGATGGTGTAAATGGCCAATTAAGGAGGTGGATTCCCGTCCCAAATGCTTCAAATGCTTTGAAGTGCGGGCAAGAAAGCCACTTAATCGCAGCGTGAACGAACCCGGCGAGTTACTACAGATGTAGCAGCAAAAATCTGAAGGACACGCTGCTGCCACCAACTATAGCATCTCAAACCCAACAGGCATGAAGGGGGTCCAGCTTAATCTGAACCACTGCGCGGCAGCACAAGATCTCAGCGCTCAGAGCTGCTATTCGGGCGAGCAAGTCCAGATGCTTCCTGTAACTCTGCGATACGGCGGACCAACCCGTTGCGTAGTGCCCACAAAACGGTATAGAAATGCACCAACTGCTTCAGATGGCTTGCAGCATGAAGGAGATAATGGCTTACCTTTTTTCTAGTCCTGTCTTCCCCAACTTCGGCGTCGTCCCGTGGGTTACCGGACTTCGGCAGCAACACCAACATTTGCCTTTTCCTCCTATTCGGGAAATTGCCTTTCTTTTGCAGCCTTAACCCTAACAGCCACCGTCTGAACCTTCGTCGCCGTGACAGGTGCGAAGCCTGCCAAAATCCGGTAACCCACGAGGCGACGTCGTTTAGGCCATCTCCCCTATTGACGAAGCTGGCAAGATGTTTGAACGCCTTATCGGCTCTCGGCTATAAGGGCAATCAAAGAGGCAGTTGACCTATAAGACGCGCAATTCGGCTTCCAGATGGGGAAGTCGACGGTCAAAGGCATCTCGAAGGTGGTATCAATCGCCAAGTCGGAAATTGCCAGCACGAGATAGAAAGAAGTCTCGAAAGAGTACTGCTTTATTGTGACACTAGATGTATGCACCGTCTTTAACACGGCACGATGGCACAGCATGATGGAGCTGCATCCTAGAGGCGCTTATTAACTTCGGAATCCCACAATGTCTATTGAGGATGATGCGCAACTACTTCGCAAATCGCATGTTAGAAATCGCGAAAAGAATGGAACTCCCCTGCTGAGTACCCCCAAGGGTCCGTTGCACTGTTGTTTTGGAATGCAATGGACGATGGAGTGGTACGCCTTTCTTTACCCGGACGGTCCGAGCAAGTGGGCTTCGCTGACGACGGTGGTCGTGGTGGCGAATCAGCTCCCCAATGCGGAAGTAACATGCAACCGCTGTATCGATGTTATCAACACATGGTGTGAGGTTGCAGTTAGCTCGCCAGAAGACGGAAGCGGATCTGGTGAGCAGTAGGAAAAAGATTGAGGTCGCCAATATTAATGTGGGTTGCTCGTCGATTCGTGCGTCCAGAGTATCAAATACCTGGGTGTAATGCTGGGAACCAGGCTCACCAGGCACCCGGCTTACGTCAATTCTAAGGCCGCATCATCCTTACGAGCACTGTCCAGGATCATGTTGAAACATAGAGGACCGAAACAGGATAGCAAGGATAGGGCCTAGTTCTCACAAGACCCAAAACAGTTTTCTAATTTCGTTAACACTAAACGTAAGCCTAAACCAAATCCTTCCTCGCTTTCATTTGAAATTACTTCCGCAAATAATGATCAGGCAATAGCCGATCTATTTTCGCAGTTTTTTCAAACAACCTATTCTAGCTCATCGTATCTACACCAGACCTATTCCTACGACATACCCAAATTAAACTTAATTTTCTGTCCTAAACGAAAGCTCTCTCCTTTTAGATCTTCATCGTATCAAGCCAGCTTATTCGCCAGGTCCCACGGGATTCCTGGCTGTGTGCTCAGGTATTGTGCCGACGCGCTGTGCTATCCCCTTCTGAAATTGTTTACCTTGTCCTTGGAAACCTCCCACTTTCCCATTATTTGGAAGGAATCGTTTATTATTCCTTTCCACAAAAAAAGTAGCAAAATGGATGCCAGAAATTATAGAGGAATCTCTAAGTTGTCGGCCCTAAATCCCTAAATTATTTGAAAACATTATCACCCCTCACTTACAGCACCTTTGTAGATCGGCAATTTCTCCATGTCAACATGGTTTTATTAAGTGAAGATCAACAACAACAAATCTTTTGGAGCTCTCTTCCTATATTATAAAGGGCTTCCATAATAATTGTCAGACAGATGTAATCTATACTGATTTCAGTAAAGCGTTTGACTCTGTTAACCATTCTCTCCTCGTTAGAAAACTCGATTCAATGGGTTTTCCAAGTGATCTTCTTAATTGGATCTCAAGTTAACTGAATGGCAGGACGCAAAAGGTCCTCTTTAAGAATAATTTATCTAATGCTTTAAGGGATACTTCTGGCGTCCCGCAAGGAAGCCATTTGGGACCCTTATTGTTTTCATTATTTATAAATGACCTTCCCAAAGTCTTGACTAACTCTAGAGTACTTATGCACGCGGATGACGTCAAGCTTTTCGTGTAATACAATGACGTTGCCTGCCAGTCGGATTTACAAACAGATCTTAATAATTTTCAAACTTGGTGCCGTGTAAACTTATTAAACTTAAATGGCTCGAAATGCAAGCTAATGACATTCTCTCGTGTCGTTCCTTAGCTTGCTACTTACACGCTGAACTGCTGCTCTTCGGAAAGAATTAATTCTGTTGATGATTTGGGTGTCGACTCGGACCCAAGACTTGTCTTTATTGATCATATTTCGTCTATGGTGAATAGAACCAGGGGTGTGCTTGGATTTATTAAACGGTGGTCGAAGGAATTCAATGACCCCTATGTCACTAAATCCTTATATACTTCTTTAGTTCGTTATATCTTAGAATATGGATGCTGCGTTTGGAGCCCTCAGTACGGCGTCCATAGTAAACGCATCGAGTCGGTTCAAAAGAACTCTTTATTCTTCGCTCTACGCGGTTTAAATTGGGATGCAAACCAAAGATTACCTTCCTATTAAAATAGACTCCTCTCAATAAACTTACCGTCCTTAGCCAATCGTAAAACGATGCTAGGAATAAGCTTCATTTTTAACCTTATCCATGGTGATGTGGAAAGTGCTGACTTGTTGAGTCAGCTTAATTTCCACGTACCATGTAGAACTACTAGATCCTATATCCCATTAGTGTTGCGCTACTGTAAAACCTCCTTTGAACTGTTGAACCTTTTAGAGTGTTAAGTGCAAATTATAATGATTTGTACACACTAATCTCTAACGTAGATACCCTTCCCAAATTAAAAGCTTTAATTCTAACCCACTTAGTAGACTTGCAGGCAAGCAATTTGGCAGCACGCCAGTAGTTGATTTCCTCTTCGTCTTTTCTATTTTTCCTTTCGCGCCTACTAACGCTTAACCCAAACAGGCACGTGCCTGGTGTCATACGGGCCACATGAGTGTACTGACCGTAGTGCATCAACGTCCAAATTATCTGGCAGCACGCCGTTAACTAATTTTCTTGCATTTAATTGCTGTTTACGATCTGAATTGGGTACATAAACGGCAATCAGCACAGCCATATTTTTTCAAATAATGAGATTCATCGTGGTTATGAAAAATAATATAAAGAAAACATTAATAAAGAACCATTTGCACGAACGCAAAAATTGCTATAATTTTAATATATTGTATATATTGTTTTGTATTGTTTTTATTGATTAAAAGTAAAGGTTTTTATAAAGGCACAAACCTGTCAAATATTCTTGCTTCCTTAAGAACATTTCCTAAATTTATGTAAGCATCTAAGAAGTTCGGATCAAGGGTTACAGCTTTCTCAAAGTGGTGTATTGCTAACCAAATCTCTCCCTGAGCGTTAAAGACACACCCTAAATTACTCCAAGCGACCGCGAATCCAGGACATGTCTCAATTGCCTTTAAGTAACAAGCCTGTATAAAAAGAAATAATTAATTTGTATAATTTAAGCTGATTAAAATTAATCAAAAAAATTAAACCTTTTTATTTATTTTTTCAAAGTTCATTTTTATTTTCTTGTAAAAAATTAAAATTTTTGGTCAGAAGTTTGCAACGCAGAGAAACAGTTATCTCTAACCACATAAATTATATATATTCTTGATCAGCATTAAAAGCAGAATTGATCTAGTCATGTCCGTATGCCCATTTTCACGCAATTAAGTTTCTTAGTTTTCAAACTATCTGAATTAATCTTTGCAGTTAGTTTCCTTAATACTCTCACTCGTATATATGTCGGAACGGGCCGGATCGGACGACTATATCATATAGCTGCCATAGGAATGATCGGAAAAATTTTTACAATTAAAAATTATAACATTTTTAGTTTTCAACAGATTTTTATCAGACTTGAGATATAGCCGTTTCATATTATTCTACAATTTTGTGTATAATTTTATGAAAATCGGACAACTATATCATATACCTCCCACAGGAACAATCGAGAAATTAATTCAATTAAAAACTAGAAAGAAAGCTAACTTCGGCACGCCGAAGTTTATATACCCTTGCAGATAGAACTTCTATGAATAGGAATCCATACAATATAAATTATATATATTTGTGTTAAAAAACAATGAAGTAATACCTGCTTACATTTCATTCACCTATACATATTATATTTGCAGTTTTACATTCACTGATTTGCATTTTTCCTCCACATCAAACGATCGTTTGTATGGCACCTATATGATATAGTCGTCCGATTTTCATGAAATTTACCACAAAATTTAAGACTGATATAAGATGGCTATATTTCAAATTTAATGAAAATCTGCTGAAAACTTAAAACGTTATAATTTTTAATTGTATTCATTTTTTGATCGTTCGAGATATAGTAGTCGGGTTTTTTTATAACTTTACACAACATTTAGATTAAAATAAAATGATATTTGATGAAAATCTGGTGAAAACTGAAGAAGTTATAATCTTTAATTTTATTAACTTCTTTTATTTCTTATAAAATGGCTATGTATCAAATGTGATGAAAATCTGTTGAAAACTGAAAATGTTATACTTTTTAATTGAATTAATTTCTCGATCGTTCCAATGGGAGCTATATGATATAGGCGTCCGATTTTCATCAAATTTTACACAATTGTAGAATAATATGAAATGGCTATAACTCAAATTTGATCAAATTCTGTTGAAAACTAAAAATGTTATAAATTTTTTTGTAAAAATTTTCCGATCATTCCTATGGCAGCTATATGATATAGTCGTCGTAGTATATAGAAGGCTAAATACAAAGTTTCATTCAGATAGCTTCAAAACTGAGAGACTAGTTTGCGTAGAAACGGACAGACGGACAGACGGACATGGCTAGATCGACTCGGCTGTTGATCCTGATCAAGAATATATATACTTTATATAGTCGGAGGTGCCTCCTTCACTGCGTTGCAAATTTCTGACTGAAATCATAATACCTTGCAAGGGTATAAAACCGGACTACAATATCGCATAGCTGCCATAGTTCCTATGGTCATAGTTCCTATGATCAAAAAATGAATACAATTAAAAATTATAACGTTTTCAGTTTTCAGCAGATTTTCATTAAATTTGAGATATAGCCATTTTATATCAGTCTTAACTTTTGTGTCAAATTTTATGAAAATCGGACGACTGTATCACATAGGTGCCATACAAACGATCGTTAGATGTGGAGCAAAAATGCAAATCTGTGAATGTAAAACTGAAAATATAATATGTATAGGTGAATGAAATGAAAGCCGGTATTACTTCATTGTTTTTTAACATTAATATATATATTTTATATTGTATGGAAGGAATCCAGGAAGTCATCGAAGTTCTATCCGCAAGGGTATATAAACTTCGGCGTGCCGAAGTTAGCTTCCTTTCTTGTTTTTTTTTTTAATTTTGTAGAACATTTTGTAACAATATAACAACTAAAAGAATTTATTGCCGCGGCCCTTCGGCTATACAAGCCGAACCACTGTGCAATCCTTGGCTCCGTAGTTTGTATTGAGGCCCATCCTAACCTTTTTCCTGAGTCGCTTAATTCTTTGTTCCACTATTGTGGGTGTGTCTTTTTTAATTACGAGAGTCTGCATGACTCCTAGTACCCGTAGTTAAGGATGTTACTGAAGTCCTTGTCGATTCCTTCTGGAGTAGACCGAACCTTGGTCCTTCTGTTTCTTACCTTAGACTGAACAATTTTCCCGTATTTATCCCAGTCAGTTTTGCGGTGCTTGCGCTTTAACTCTGTCCCCTGTGTCGGCATCAAGGTTTGAAAGAATATGTACCTATTCACAGTGGATCCAAAAAGAAATCTTGCGGAATAAAAGTTGATTTTTAACTTTTGAAAAAGAAATCTAGCGGAATAAAAGTAGATTTTTATCTTTTCAAAAGTTAAACATATGCTATGTTTAGCACGTGTTCATGCAAAGATTTAAGACTGTTTGTGATCCTTCTTAAAGCATCAAATAACAAAATATATCTTAGTTTATTATTAATAATAACTTTTGTTTCCCTTAAAATCAGGTATGTACTAAATAAAAATTGTATATTCATGACCTGTCTTTCTATGTACATCTAAAAATTGTGTAAATTGTATGTTGCTTTTGCAAGAATTGCTTTTGAGGAGTTTACTAACTTCATTGGACTATAACTAACGTTATTCAATGGTATTCATGCTAATTTTAGTATTTATGTAAAGTGTCAGGCCTTGTGGTGTGAAAATGTCCAAAATGATAACCAACTACGTCCACCTCTGTCGAATTTTTTCGGAGTATTGTCAGTCTGCAAGCGCTCCATGTGGCTTGGTGAAAATGTAGCATCAAAAAAGTGGTTAGTGTTAATTCAAGTTAAATCAAGAACAACAAGAAAGGAAGATAACTTCGGCACGCCGAAGTTTATATACCCTTGCAGATAGAACTTCTATGAATAAAAAACCATACAATACAAATTATATATCTTTGTGTTAAAAAACAATGAAGTAATACCTGCTTTCATTTCATTCACCTATACATATTATATTTGCAGTTTTACATTCACTGATTTGCATTTTTCCTCCACATCAAACGATTGTTTGTATGGCACCTATATGATATAGTCGTCCGATTTTCATGAAATTTACCACAAAATTTAAGACTTAAATTAAATGCCTATACCTCAAATTTGATGAAAATCAGTTGAAAACTGAAAAGGTTATAAATTTAATTGTATTAATTTCTCGATCGTTCCTATGGGAGCTATATGATATAGTAGTCCGATTTTCATAAAATTTTATGCAAAGTTGTAGAGTATAGTAAAATGGCTATATCTCAAATTTGATTCAATTCTATTGAAAACTGAAAAAGTTAAAAAATTTTTTGTAAAAATTTTCCGATCATTCCTATGGCAGCTATATGATATAGTCGTCCGATCCGGCCCGTTCCGACATATATACGAGTGAGAGTATATAGAAGGCTAACTACAAAGTTTCATTCAGATAGCTTCAAAACTGAGAGACTAGTTTGCGTAGAAACGGACAGACGGACAGACGGACAGACGGACAGAAGGACAGACGGACAGACGGACATGGCTAGATCGACTCGGCTGTTGATCCTGATCAAGAATATATATATTTTATATAGTCGGAGGCGCCTCCTTCACTGCGTTGCAAACTTCTGACTGCAATTATAATACCCTGCAAGGGTATAAAAACGTAGTAGAAAATGACATGAAGGAAGTAAAAAAAATTGGCTAATTTTGTAAGCAGGGTTACTGAGAAATGGAAGGCTTGTCATAATAATGCCAAACATTTTGATACAAAAAATCAGAAATGGCTTGACATGCCGTTCATTTTGTATAACTTCACGTTAACGCCAGATGTTGGTCGACCTAAGAAGGTAGGTCGAGAGCTTGCATTGTAATTAAGAATCACTTTAATGCTTTTCTCTGTCCCAATCTCAGCACACCTGACCTAGCAGTGGCCAGATTCGTGGCGGCGGATGGGAGCGGAGTATAAATCGCATCGGCGTACATGGCCCATGACGAGCCGGCCCCGCCTGAGCCGGTAGTCAAGCTGCTGCAATGGGCGGAAGCGAAGAAGACGACCCTGGTGCTCGGGTATGATGCGAACGCAAGACACACGCTCTGGGGGAGTTCGGAGACTAACGAAAGAGGTGAGTCACTCTTTGATAATATTATCTGTAGAAACGTAACAATATGTAATAAGGGCAATACGCCGACCTTCATCTTTCCGAGTACGGAAAATTTTCAAGGTTTGGAAGAGGTGTTAGACCTCACATTACATATAGAGCAGAACAATTACAGGGTCGAGAACTGGAGGGTATCGACAGAACACTCCTTCTCAGACCATAGGTACATTATCTTTGAATTAACGACACCAGTTAAGAAACAGGTGCCAAGAAGGAACCCCCGTAGGACGGATTGGAACAATTTCAGCGAAATTGTCCGATCAAAAGTAAACGGCAGGAGGATCAAGACTATATCCACTGCAAAGGCACTCGACAAAGAGGTCGAGGGCCTAACTAATATTCTGAACAACGCCTTCAAAGAGACTTGTAAGCTAACATTCTCGAAGAAGCAATACCCACCGTGGTGGACAAAGGAATTGAGCGAGCTCAGAAAGAGCGCGAGAAAGTCCTTTAAACACAGGGATTGGGGAACATACAAAGAGGCACAAAAAATTTACAAGAAGGCAGTATACAAGGCCAAGAAAGAGTCCTGGCAAAACTACTGCGAGTCACTGGAAGGCATAAAGGACACGGCGAAAGTAAGCAAAATCCTCGCCAAGGGGCGAGCCCTACCCTGATCAACAGAGCAGACGGCTCTGCTACGACGACAATCGAGGAGTCACTAGAACTACTAGTTGACACCCACTTCCCAGGAAGCCTCAGAGTGAACTCGGAACCCGAGGAGGGAACGAGCTCTCAAATGGATACACCTACAA